TGACGTCAGAGGAGAGGCGGAAGTAAGAGCGGACTGCGCAGCGAAAAATCAGGGAGGGGACAGATCGATATTTATAAAGTACCGATATCACCTGTAACACCTGTGTGACATCAGGGACATGAGCTGCGCAGGCGCAGAGCTCAGGATCAATTTCAGCCCAGGCCGCGTGCAGCTGGTCCAGGTAAACCCCTTACCTGTAGAGAGCTAACAGCTAACGGAGCTAACAGAGCTAACGGCTAACAGGACATCCGGATTAAACAGGTGTTACTGCTCACCTGACACCCCCCCCCCCATCCCTGCGTGTGCGCGCGAGTGAGGGTGTGTGAGACTCTAAAGATGTCTCCATGGTAACCGCTTCACCTGTGGTTTACCTGTCACTACAGTAACCAAGTCCTGCTGTTGGTACTACTGAGAAGTATCGCAGTAGTACTGAAGTCATACCGTATTTATACTGCAGTATAAACTATAGTATTTATACTGCAGTAGTACTGTAGCAGTACTGTAGTGGTCCTGTTTTTGGTCCCGGTCTCTGATTGGACGAGCAGTAAACACTCTGACCGCCATTCTGCGTCTGTTTCAGGAGGAGGTCCTGGTCCCGGCTCAGAGGGTCCTGGTTACCGGGGCGACAGGTCTCCTGGGCCGAGCCGTCTGCAGAGAGTTCCAGAACGCTGGCTGGTTGGTCATCGGGACCGGGTTCAGGAGAGCTAGGCCCCGCCTCCTTCGCTGTGACCTCACAGATGAGGACGCAGTTCGAGGACTACTGCAAGAGTACACGGTACTACACACACGTGCACAGACACATCACACACACGTGCACAGACACATCACACACACGTGCACAGACACATCACACACACGTGCACAGACATCACACACACGTGCACAGACATCACACACACGTGCACAGACACATCACACACACGTGCACAGACACATCACACACACGTGCACAGACACATCACACACACGTGCACAGACATCACACACACGTGCACAGACACATCACACACACGTGCACAGACACATCACACACACGTGCACAGACATCACACACACGTGCACAGACACCTCAAACATCCTCATGACCCCCAAAACTTCTGGTCCTGCTCAGATCGCTCTTTTTCCCTCCATGAAGGAAACCGTCATTAAAAAACGGTTTTATCACTTCGGTCGTCTTTGTCTGAGATTCAAGTCAGTCTGATGAGCGAGACAAAAAAGCAGGAAGTGAAGAAACATGTGAGAGGAAATCCTTTTTCAGAGCTCAGCGATCATTTAGACTTACAGGAAACAGGAGAAATCGACTTTAACGATTTATTTACTGTCAACAACGACAAACTTTCACTGACTTCTGTGACTTTTAATCCTTTCAGCCAGATGTGATCGTTCACTGCGCTGCAGAGAGACGTCCTGACGTCGTGGAGAGACACACCGAAGCTGCTGTCAATCTCAATGTTCACGCCACGAGCACGCTCGCCAAGGAGGCAGGTGAGTCATCGCCACGTTTCCTCATCAGCAGCTGATTTAAAGGCGTTTATGACGAGGACTTAAAACTAAGAACTGACTGAGAGGCACTTTTAGACGGAAACGGTCTCCATAGAAAAAAAGAAAAATTCAGTTTCGTTTAGGGGGTCCGTTTAGACGGAAACGGCGTTTTCAGGAGATGAAAACGTAACGAAGTGAAAACCCCCTCCAGAGTGGAAATGTTGTAAACGCTCTGCTCGACACGCTTTCGTCTAAAGTACAAAAACGCTGAAAACAGTCAAACCTGTGACGTCGGCTCACGTTTATGACATCATAGCCATGCGCAGCTTCCTTGAAAATAACAACAACAACCATGATGGTGAAGATGGTGATGATGATGGTGATGATGATGATGATGATGGTGAAGATGGTGAAGATGATGATGATGATGGTGAAGATGGTGAAGATGATGATGGTGATGATGATGATGATGATGATGATGATGGTGAAGATGATGATGGTGATGATGATGATGATGATGATGATGATGATGATGAAGATGGTGAAGATGGTGATGATGATGATGATGATGATGATGATGATGATGATGGTGAAGATGGTGAAGATGATGATGATGATGGTGATGATGATGATGATGAAGATGATGATGGTGATGATGATGATGAAGATGATGATGGTGATGATGATGAAGATGATGATGGTGATGATGATGATGATGAAGATGATGATGGTGATGATGATGAAGATGATGATGGTGATGATGATGATGATGAAGATGATGGTGAAGATGATGATGATGATGGTGATGATGGTGAAGATGATGGTGATGGTGATGATGGTGAAGATGATGGTGATGATGATGATGATGGTGAAGATGATGATGATGGTGATGGTGATGATGGTGATGATGGTGATGATGTTGATGATAGTTAAGGTGATGAAGGTCATGTCTTCTGTCCCTCAGCCACCTGTGGAGCTCTCCTGATCTACATCAGCAGTGATTACGTGTTCGATGGCA